CCATATTTGTACCCATTCCAAAGAAAGGTGATCCCATAGAATGTGTAAATTATCAAACAGTATGATTAATATCACATGCAAATAAAATCTTGATGAAGATAATTCAAAGACGGTTGCACCAGTATATTGACAAAGAACTTCCAGAAATGCAAGCTGGATTCAGAAGAGAATGTGGAATGAGAGATATCATAGCTGATGTCAGATAGACCTTGGCTGAAAGCAAAAAATATCAGAAAGATGTTTACTTGTATTTTATTAACTATGCAAAAGCATTCGATTGTGTGGATCATAAAAATTTAAGGATAACAGTGAGAAGAATGGGAATTCCAGATGACTTAATTGTGCTCATGAGTAACCTGTACATAGAACAGGAGGCTGTTGTTCAAACAGAACAAGGGGATACTACATGGTTTTAAATCAGAAAGGGAGTGTGTCAGGGTTGTATGCTTTCAACATACTCATTCAATCTATATGCTGAGCAAATAATCTGAGAAGCTGGACTATATGAAGAAGAGCATGGCATCAGGGTTGGAGAAAGACTCATTAACAACCTGCGATATGCAGATGACACTTTGCTTGCTGAAAGTGAGGATAACTTGAAGCACTTGTTGATGAAGATTAAAGATTAGTCTGCAGTATGGATTCTATCTCAACACAAAGAAAATGAAAATCCTCACAAAAGAACCAATAAGCAGCATCATGACAAATGGAGAAAAGATTCAAGTTGCCAAAGATTTCATATTACTTGGTTCCACAATCAACTTCAATGGAAGCAGTAGCCAAGACATCAGATGATGCATTGCACTGGGCAAACCTGCCGCCAAAGACCTCTTTAAAGTGTTGGAGAGCAAAGATGTCTCCTGGAAGACTAAGATGCTCCTAACCCAAGCCATGGTATTTTCAATCATCTCATATGCATGTGAGAGCTGGACAATGAATAAGGAAGACCAAAGAAGAGTTGATGCATTTCAGTTGTGGTTTTGGAGAAGGATACTACTCAAAGTACCATGGACTGCCAGAAGAATTAATAAATCTGTCCTGGAAGAAGTACAGCCAGAATGCTCCTTGGAGGCAAGAACGGTTAGACTTCGTTTGACTACTTTAGTTATGTTGTCAGAAGGGACCATTCCCTGGAGAAGGATATCATGCTTGGTAAAGTGGAGGGTCAACAAAAAAGGGAAAGGCTCTCAACGAGATGGATTGACAAAGTGGCTGCAATGATGAGCTCAGGTATAGCAAGGACTGCGCAGTGTTTTGTTCTGTTGTAAACAGGGTTACTATGAGTTGGAGCCAACTCAATGGCGCCTAACAACAACAACAAAGAGATTAAAGAAGACTTAAACAACAAATAGAAAGATGTTCCACATTCATGGATTGGGAGACTTACTACTGATACTACCCAAAGCAATCTAAGATTCAACCCAATTCCAATCAAAATTCCAAGAGCCTTCTTTATAGAAACAGAAAAGTCAATCCTCAACTTTATATAGAATGGCAACAGGCCCCAGATAGCTAAAACAATGCTGAAAGAGAAGAACAAAGTAAGATGACTCACACTTCCTAATTTTTAAACATAAACCCATATATCTATGTATGGTCAGCTGATTTTTGACAAAGGTGCTAATTAAGTCCATTTAATGGGGAAAGAAGGTGTCTTCAACAAATGGCTCTGGGAAAACTGGATTTCCACATGCAGAAAAATAAACAGTAGCCATGCCTCACACCAGACACAGAAACAAATTCAAAATGGACTAAGGATCTAAATTTACAGACTAAAACCATAAAATTCTTAGAGGAACAAGCAGGGAGCAATGCTGTTAGATCTAGCTTTCAAAAACAGATTACCTAATTTACTAATAAAAGAACAAAGAGCAAAAGACAGAATAAATAAATAGGATCTCATAAACATTAAAAAACTGTTCATCAAAAGACTTTACAGAAAAAGTAAAAAGACAAAGTACTGACTGGGACAATTATCTTCAGAGATCATATATCCAACAAGAATCTAATAACCAAAATGTATATAAAACTTCAACAACTTAACAACAACAACAAAAAAAAAACCCACATAATTCAATCATAAAATGGTCAAGGAACTTACTTAGACATTTCACCAAAGATGCTTAGCATTATTAGCCATCAGAGAGACACAAATCAAAACCACAATGAGATATCATTTCACTCCCACTAGGATGGTTAATATTAAAAAAAAAAGAAAAGAAAAGAAAGAAATAACTAACATCAGCGAGGATATGGGGAAACTCGTACCCTTATCTATTGCTGACAGGAATGTAAAATGGTACACCCACTGTGGAAAATAGTCTGGTAGTTTCTCAAAAAATTAAAAATAGAACATAGGAGCCAGCAATTCTAGTCTTAGGTATTGTGGTAGTTACATTTGTGTGTCAACTTGGCTGGGCCTGGTTGAGTGGCTGGGCAGCTGGATGTAGTATTCCCCATGATGAGGTTAGTAATCACCTCCATGGTAGAATCTACTGTGAGCAGCTGTTCAGCAGCCTGCCATGCTCTGCTGACCTTGGGACTTTGAATGGACCTGAATGAATGGCCTGCCATGTGGTTTGGTAACATTGGGACTGTGCCTTTTTACTTGTCAAAGTAAAGTTACTTTACTTTTACTTGCTGGGCTGCTCGGCCTCAGCAGCCAGCAGCTGTCTGAGTAAAGAAAAGCCTCAGTGGGCCAGGAGCAGGAGCAGAGGTGAAACCCAAAGTTGAGGGGTTTTCATCCAGCCCCTAGAGCCTGGCACTTTAACTCAGACTTAAAACCTCAAAATTGTAAGAACTCCTGTTTCTTAAAGCCATCCCATTTGAGGTATATTCTTTTTGGAGCAGCACTAGGTAACCAAAACAGGTATATACTCAAAAGACTTGAAAGTAGAGACTCAGAGAGAGACTTGCACACCAATGTTCACTGCAGCACTATTCACAAGAGCCAAAAGGTGGAAATAACCTAAATGCCCACTAACAGATAAATGGATAAACAAAATGTGGTACATACATATATACATACATAAAATGGAATATTACTCAGCCAGCTGAAGAAATTAAGTCTTGATACAGGCTACTGTATGGATCTAGCCTGAAGACCTGATGCTGGGTGAAATAAGGACAAATGTTACATGACCTCCCCTATATAAAAAGATAAGAAAAAGCAATGTATAGAGACTAAAGTTTATTAGTGGTTACCAGGAACAGGAAAGAGGGGTAAAGGGGGGGTTAACAAGAACAGAAAAATAACACTTATTAAGGGTAGGGTTGCACAAGCAATTTTTGTTATTATTGACAGTAAATTATACACCTGTAAAAAGTTAATTGGCAAAAAGTTCTGTGATAGATACACTTAAAACAATGACCGGAAAAAAAAAAAAAAAAAGGTTCTGAGGCACTTATGTACAACCAAATATCTCATAGGATTTAGTTTCTTGGTTTGGAGGTTTAGGGTCATTGTTTCAAAGTTACATCCCAGTTAATGGGATGTAAAACATCCCACTAAAATATATTTAGTGTTTCTGTTCTACCTCCTAGTTCCTTGTATAATGTCTGGAGTTTTAAAAGCTTGCAAGCAGCCACCCAAGGCATAATTTGTCTCTACTTATCTAAAGGAAGAGAAGAAGTAAAGTCAGGAAGGGGAGGAGGATGTGGACTATGCGGTTAATTGTCTCCACAAGAACTGGATGGTATCCAGCCACCATTACTAAACATTTTGAGCAGAGATTTCATATAAGAATCCTGATCAAAAGGAGGGAAATGTCAGACAGAATTTCAAATTCTCATGGACTCGACGTTCTAGAGCCATGGAGGGAGAGTGGATGACCCCTAAAACTATTGCCCTGAGATAATCTTTAAACCTTAAACCAAAAACATCCCCTGAAGTCTTCTTAAAACTGAGTAACTATTCAGCTTCCAAAAAAAACCAAACTCACTGCCCTCGAGTCAGATCCGACTCATAGTGATCCCTCCTTGGGTTTCTGAGGCAGTATCACTATGAAAGTAGACTGCCCAATCTTCCTTCAGAGGAGTGGCTGGTGGGTTTGAACTGCCAATCTTCTGGTTAGCAGTCAAATGCCTTAGGCACTATGCTATCAGAGCTTAGCTAGTAATAAAAGTCTGCCTGGAACGTTATGGTCTTTTAAGAACTATGTATATGGAATCAAATTGACAATAGCAATTTGAAACACTAGATATGAACCTTAGGGAGCAGGGAGTTTATGTTAATAAGGGAGAAACAACTCAGAGAGGAGAGTGAGAATGGTCATACAACTCCAAGAATGTAATCAATGTTACTCAATTGTACATGTAGAAACTGTTGAATTGGTTTATATTTTGCTGTATACATACTCAACAACAACAAAACAAATAAAATTTGAAAAGGAAAGGGAATGAACTGAGTATTTATCCTATCTTTCTACAAACCACTAGCACAACCAAACAGAACCTTGTCAATAAGGAAATTTTTTTAAAAAACAGAATTCCAGCAAAAAAAGAAAAAGGGCATAGCAGAACTGAAAAATTACAATTTTGCAAGATCATCAATGAGTAAAACTATTAGGTGAAAGGATGGTGAAGAATTTTACCATGGAATGCTCAAACTGTTAGCATTTAAATCCCTGATCAATCTTACCTTTCCTAAGAGTGGGTCAACTAAACATTACGTGTCTCTGGATCGGCTATAATATGAAACACATGGGCCACCTCTGAAGTATATTATCAAAAATACTTGAATCAAGCACTAACTTCCAGGAAATATGGGAGAAAGAATAAATTAAAATGATGTAATGAGGAAGCCAACACAAATCTAAAATGTGGGATCTTCTCCCAAACAAGATTTTCTTCAACATGTTGATAATGGGGGAAGAAAAGGTCAGGGAAGAAAGACTTCCCTAGTATATATAAGATATTATCACCCCCAAGATGAAATCATGATGTTAAAAAACAACAAAATGATTTATATAGCTACAGAGCAACTTATCTAGGAAACTTACTGTCTATCCAAGACACTATGAGGAACTCTTCTGCAGAGATAGGCAAACACTCTGTTTTGAGTAACAATGCGCTCTTCTTCCTCCTTTGTTAATCTATAGATATTCTTTTGCAAAGATGCAATAGTCTCTTGTTGTTCCATTCGCTTTTTCTTGTAACGCTGACATTTTGCCTGTAAGACATTTTTTAAAACTATAATTATGATGTGTGTGTGTGTGTATATATATATATATAAATATATATATATATATATATATATATATATATATATATATATATATATATATATATATATAAGACATGTTGTCCTAACAATACTATACACAAAGATATTTTCACAGTTTCTATCTAACTGCTTCAATCAAGAATTTTAGGATTTGGGCTATCTGTAAATGGGTGCCAGCTCCAGAAACAGAAATATCACAAACCCCCAAAATATAATAGGGAAAATATAGTTCATAGTTATAGGCACTCAAGGTGTCATCATCAGTAACAAAAAAAACAGTTTCCATAGTTGACTCCAACTCATGGTGACCCCATGTGTGTCAGAGTAGAATTGTACTCCAGGGTTTTTAATGGATTTTTTTTAAGATCACCAGGCCTTTTTTCTGAGGTGCCTCTGGGTAGAGTTAAACCTCCAACCTTTCAGTTAGCAACCAAGTGCATTAATCATTTGTATCACCCAGGAACTCCATAACCAGTAAAGGAACTCAAAATCTCTATAAATAATCGGGAAGGGAGCAATATTAAAGATGCTATAAAGAACCAGGAATTAAAATTAAGATTCCTAAATTATTAATGGTATTTCAGGACTGCTGATGACATAGTCAACTTAGGTGTTCAAACAATGTGGAGCCTACAAACTCATAATAATTCACAACCAGGAAGTTAGCATCAACGAATAATCAGTGTGTACACATCAACATTTATATGAAAGAATGAATATAAATCTCAGACACTCTTTTTCCTTATTTTCTGGTTTCTATAGCTAGGAATCCTTTACAAGCTCATTCTCTGTCTAGTCATAAAATGTGAGCATTCTTTGCATACTCTGCATTCAACTTGTATTCTCATTCATGTCAGTAGCTTCAATTACCACTATACTAATTCCCACATTCATCCTCAGAGCAGATATTTCTGCACTTCAGAGTAACTGCTTATTTGATAACTCTCCTTAATTTCCCAAAGACACTTTACCTCCACATGTCAAAACCAAACTCAGGATCTCCTCCTTTATGTATGTCTACCCCAACAAAACTGATCCTTGCACTCCTTTCTTCAAGTGTATACAAATACATAGTAATACAAATTCACCCATATGCTGAAGGAGGGGTTTCACACCATACACAGTACATCCAGGAAATCTCTCCCAGTTGATAGAAAATGTCTACCTCATTTTCTTTTTAATGTTTTACTTATGCTTTTCTTTATGTTCCAAAATTTCTCCAATAAGCAAGTATGTATTATTTTTGCAATCACAAAAACATTTTAAATCTCTAAAAACCTTTAATCAGTGAATGAAGAATGTATGTACTGGAAGTCTATCAAAAGTGGAGGTCATCAGAAAAACTTTAATTAATTAAAATTAATTTTTCTTCTCCATCATTATCACTAGCACCATCACTGTAATTATTTACTAACTATACTTCTAAAAAGCTCACAGAGAAGCCTTTACCCATCTGGCCTGGGCATTACTAAGACATGCCTAAGACATAATCAAAATAGGATACTTGTGTCTAAGCACGTGTTCACCTGCCACAAGTATCAAGTTTACTGAGACTTAGAAGGCCTCAGGCAGGAAGGAGACTCAGCTTCCAGTACCATTTCATCTCCCAGTAACTATCACTTACACTTGGAATTTATCCCTGCCTTAGTCTCATCGCTGTAAGGGACCTCTGAACAAGTGACATGGGTGCCATTCCACTTCTAAGTTAGCTGCAAAACCTTGGACAGCAGGACAGGGCAATTATTAGGAGTATGAATAATAGAGTAAGATAGCCTGGGCATGAACTTAATTCTGTCTTATTAAGTGTGTGAACCTGAGCAAGTCTAATGACCTCTCCATATCACAGCCCTTCCATTTTAAAAATGAAAATAACATTTTGGACTTCTGGTAAGATGGCAGAATAGGCAGACAACCTACACAGACTCTCTTCAACAAAGAAAAGACAAACTAATTGACACAGATACAGAAAATAATTCTGGAGCTATGAGCTTTGAAAGGAAGGATATAGAAGTGCATTAAACACCAACTAGTAGAAAACCTGGATGAAAACAGCAAGTAAGGAGAAACGGAGCTGCAGACTATCAGCTATTCTGACGGCACAGATAGCTTGAATATTTCCAAGTGGTGGTAGGACCTGAGAATTAACCTAAAAATTGGCACTGCATACCAAGGGTTACATGGATCACTGCATTGGTAGCTGATGACTAAAAAGGGAAACAGCAAAGAAGGAGACAAACTGAGCTGTGGACTTTCGGCTGTCCAGAGGGCGCAGCCATTTTGAATGTTTACAAGTGGTGGCCATCTTAGATATTTAAAATGACAGCATTCTCATTAGATTCCAGAGACCTAAGAATAAGCTCCACCTGCCAAGGACAGCACAGGCATACAGGAGGTTGATAATGGGAAAGGAGAGAGGTGGTGAGTGCACAAGTGCTGTCAACTAGTGAACAGAGGAGCACAGTATGCACTGCTTACTCACATAAAATCCAAACAAAACAAAGAAAATGAAAATATTAGGTGAATCACCCCAACGTACAATCACCAATTAAATATAAACACAAAAATGTCACACTGTCTCGGAGACAATGGACCATCACAGTCCACACAAAGAAGCAAGATAAAGCAGTAGAAACAAAGGACCAGGATACAGACCCTGATTACATCTCTAAGGAAGAAGCAGCATTGGAATTCCCTGATAAGGAATTCAGAAGAATTATATTTAGGTACCTTCAATAGAGTGAGAGGCAGATCAAGGAAAATGCTGACAAAAATAGAAGAAAACACAGAGAAAATCCTAGAAAAATCTCAAAAGACAATACAAGAACAAAATGACAAAATAAATGAAAAATTAGAAATCCAAAAGATTAATGCTAAATTTTCAGAAATAGATAACATCGAAATGGCAAAGCAGTAGAACTGAATCAATGGTAGACAGAATTAGTGAGATTGAAGACAAATACCTCAATACTTCTTTGGAAAGGGGTCAATCAGAAAAAGACCAAAACAAAATGAAAAGGACTTCCGGTAAGATGGCAGAATAAGCAGACAAGCTCCACAGATCCTCTTCAACAAAGAAAAGAGAAACCAATTGACAGAGATACAGAAGATAATCCTGGAGCCCTGAGCTTTGAAAGGAAGTATACAGAAGTGGATTAAGCACCAACTAGTGGAAAAACCTGAATGAAAAGAGTGAGTATGGAGATGGTCGGAGCAGTGGACCATCAGCTACTCTGACAGGACCAACAGCTTGAATATATCTCCGTGGTGTTGGGACCTGAGAATTGACCTAGACATCAGCCCTGGTCACCAAAGGCTGCAGGAACGACTATGCTGATGGTCTATGACTAGGAAGGGAAACAGCAAGGAGGGAGAAAACCTGAGCTGTGGACTTCCAGCTGTCCAGAAGGTGCAGCCATATTAATTGTTTGCACACAGTGGGCATTTTGGATATTTAAAGGGACTGAGGGTGCAGCCATTTTGATTGTTTACAGGCAGCAGCCATTTTGGATATTTAAAGTGACCTAGGATGCAGCCATTTTGAATGTTTACAAGCAATGGCCATTTTGTATATTTAAAGTGACCAAGGGTGCAACCATTTTGAATGTTTACAATCAGTGGCTATTTTGGATTTTAAAGTGATAGCATTCTCACTTGCATTCCAGAGACCTAAGAATAGGCTCCTTTTGCCAAGGACAGCAGGGACATATGGAAAGCAGACAACGGGAAAGGAGGCAGATGGTGAGTGCATAAGTGTTGCCAACTAGCAAATAGAGGAGCACAGCACAGTACTCTGCTCACATAGATAACATACAAAGAAAAAAAAATCATGGGCAAGTCACCCCAATATACAATCACCAATTAAATATAAACACAAAAACATCACAATGACTCGGAGACAACAGAGCATCATAGTCCACACAAAGAAGCAACATGAAGCAGGAGAAACAAGGGACCAGATCCAAAACACATCCCTCAGGAACACGCAGCATTGGAACGCCCTAATAAGGAATTCAAAATAATTATATTTAGGTACCTTTAACAAATTGAGATATAGATCAAGGAAAACACTAATAAAATGGAGGACAACACAGAGAAAACCCTAGGACAATTTCAAAAGACAATACAAGAACAAAATGACAAAACAAATGAAAAATTAGAAATGATTCAAAATCTACAGATAGGAATCCAGAAGATTATCACTAAATTTTCAGAAATAGATAATTCATAGAATGGGCAAAGGAGTAGAACTGAATCAATGAAAAACAAAATTAGTGAGATTTAAGGCAAATACCTTAATATTTCTTTGGAAAGTAAACAATCAGAAAAAAAGATCAAAACAAAATGAAGAAAGCCTAAGGTTCATGTGGGATACCATGAAAAGGAATAACTTATGTGTAATCAGAATTCCAGAACAGGAAGAGACAGATAAAACCACAGAAAAAATTGTCAAAGATTTGTTCGAAGAGAATAATCCTGGTATGGCGAAAGATAAGACTATATCCATTCAAGAAGTCCAACAAACCCCAAATTGGATAGACCCCAAAAGAAAATCACCAAGCACCAAGACATATCATCATCAAACTCAACAAGACCACAAAGAAAGAATCCTAAAAGCAGCACGGGAAAAACAAAAAGTTACCTACAAGGGGCAACTGATAAGAATAAGCTCAGATTTCTCGGCAAAAAACCATGCAGGTGGGGGCAAGATGGCGGACTAGGCAGAAGGATTGCACAGACCCTCTTCAACAAAGGAAAGGGAAACCAATAAATACAGACACAGAAGATAATCTTGGACCCCTGAGCCTTGAAGGAAAGGATGCAGATTTGGACTAAACCCCAACTAGCAGAAGAATTTGCGTGAAAA